ATGTGCCGTGTACCATGTTCAACTACCATCTTGAACCACCATGTATTTATACAGTAACCCAGAGCTGACAAACCAAACACTGGCTGTAGACAGGGCTTTTGTGTTTTACACAAGTTTTCTCTTTCTCCTTCTCAGGCTGTCTGGGACTAATTTCACAAGACAGCAACACTACAAACATGTGATGATCTTATATAATATGATGCATTGCTGTATCAACAACAGTAAAAGAAAAATGATAACATGTAAATAAAATGTAACATACATATTAAGGAGTAATATTAATCCAAAAACACCAGATTTATGACACTGACAGGGACTATTTTACTCCACAATGACTACCTTTACTTTTTTACTTATTAAATAGATTCTGCTGATAATGGTTACATACTTTTACTTGAATAAGAATGAATGAAGGACTTTCACTTGTAGTGGAGTGTTTTAACAGTGTGGTGTTAGTACTTTTATTTAAGCAACGGATCTTAATACTTCCACCATTGTGACTATAATTAACCACAACTCCAGTCCTTTTTGTCAGGTCTTTACATTATGTTGGCTATGCATTGTAATGGCAGAGGGACTACGGAAGTTTATGACAAGAAAACTTCTTTGAAATGAATCAAAACAAAGCGTTTACAAATTCTTTGCTTTTGCTGGCAGGTGGTGGCTGTGGTCAGTCTGTCATGCCAGATGAAAAGAATACTGTACATGCTTGCAGTAATATTAAAAAGGGATGAAAGGGATTTATATGTCATAAGAGTTTACATGGATGACAAAATCAAAGAGAGAGAGAGGGTGAGTGGAATTTTGAAGCTGATATATCACACCGTCTAGTCTCTCAGATTACTCCCTTCTCACATCGCATTTCTCACTCATTTCCTAATGAGCTTAATGGACTGAGAGCAGAGTCTCACCTCTTTAAACCTGATGAGGTCGGGCAGAAAATTGATCTGCCTGGAGGGCTGATATGTGCTCATGCGAAATTAGATAGATGTTGAGATGTAAATTTTTTTTCTCAGCCTTTTTTTTTTGCTTATAAGGAATAGGGATAATTGTGGTGTTGTCACGGTAAAAAGGCATTTTCTGATTTACAACAGAACAATATCCCTTGAAAATTATATAGAATCATGTTCTATAACTAAGCCAGCCCAGCATCACTGCTTTATAGCATTCAATAGCTTACTGATGGTTAGACTTATTCCTCTGATTACATTGCTACAGTATAGTGTTGTCAGAGTGAAAGTGGACTTTGAACTCATCACATCTGCCTCTGTCAGTGTCTCTATCATTTCCTAGTTTTACTCTTAATCAATATCGTGTTTCATTTTCCATCTGATGAAATCAGTTGTTTCTGCAAAAGGTCACCTCTTCAAAGAGCAAGAAGAAAGCGTTCCCTTTTTCCAATTAACACTCACTTTTTTGAAAGGGGCTTTCCTAGTTTTTGTGTTGCTGCATCTTAATGAAGCGTTTGACCTATCAATTTAGGGACAGCTTGGAAATTAAGTGTGAAATAAGTTTTTTGTGAGTGAAAGAAATGGTTGCTGTCAATCAATAAAATAAACCGTGAGTGACAGCATGGGGATCATTAGCAAACAGCATGCAGCAAAGCAGCTTGTTCATAAAAATTCAAACACTTGAGATCGGCTTCTGGAGGTGCTCGCTTCTCAAATTTTTTTATCAATAACGAGGTATCTTTGAATATTGTGGGAACAAACACACCATCTGAAGACTTGTGGCAATTAGACAAAAAAGAGAGTGAGATCAGAGCTGTGTAGCAGAGTGTGCAGGCATACAGGGGGTCCAGGATGATCACAGTCTCTTGCTGGGTCTCTGAGGGTCTGACTCCAGGGGAGATATCGGATCACAGAGCTGGGGTTTCACAACCCCCTGTGTTGGAGTAAATTGTAGACTGGATTCACAATTCTAAATAGGCAGACACCATCCTACACACAGCCCCTGCAACTTGCTTTTGATATATCTTTTTAAAGCTTTGACATCACTCACTTTGGTGATTCCTAACAAACCAGACACGTAGCACCTAAGCGACATGTGAGGCACAATGAAAGGGGATGACAGAGAAGGTGGCAAAATATACGTCTCTCGTTAAATGTTATATGTCAGTCATATACAGACAAGAGTAGGATCTGGCTTTCCCCTGCCCCGTCTGCACCCTTGGTTCTACGACACCTCTCAAACTGTCAGTGAGAGAAGTGTGTGCGTGTGTGCTCATGTGAGACAATCCACCCCATCACATTTTCCCCCACTTCAAATGGCAGCCATCTTGTTGACATCCATGCACTGCAGCACTGGGAACCGGGGACAAGTCTGCATTGAGGACAGGCACTATTGTGCTTGTTTGTTTGTTTCCAACATATCGGAGGAGCGCTGATTAAAGCTTTTGCCACCACAAGGAGCGATCCATCAGGGTTGTACGTGAGCTATCAAAAACCTCAAAGCCGGTGCTCGCTCCTGCTTTGTCTTCCAATGAGAAGCAAGGCAGCACATCAAATGGCTGACAAAACCTGGATTAAAAGGGAATATTTTATTCATAGCTGTCAACGAAAGGGAGGAATGAGATATTAGGGACAGGAGGAACCTGCTGCAATTTAGATCCTGAACCCTGAACTCGGTGTCTCTCTTCCATTCGGGCCTTATGGGGGTGCTTAATGAGGAAACATGATCAGAGGAGCAGATGACACGTAAGGTGTGTCAGGACACAAGAGGTGGTGATATTTACAATAGGCAGGATTCTCACTTCTCCTCCTCTCTCTTTCACATCAGCCCTCTAGATCTATTTATTCTCATGTTGTTGCTAGGTTAGAATTCTATTCACATCTTATCCATGTGATCACCTGTGATCATGTTATAATTTTACAGTGCTGTTAAAAAAGAAAGATGAGTGGAATATTCTGTAGCGTTTATTGGAATCTGTCTATGAAAGGTGAATATAACGGAAAACTGCTAACAGCGAGATCTGTGGACTATCCTGAGTAAACTAGCCCTTGTTTAAGGAAAAATGTATGCCACTATGGAATTCTTTTAATTGCATTTTTCAGTGTCAGCGCCACAAATCAAATTCCATTCACCTCCAGGTTCCTATTGCATTGCCAGAAGTCTCAACAGCAGATATCTTTAAACCTCAGCATGGTTACAGAACATGCAGTGATCTGGATGAACTGGCCCTTAAAACTACTTTGGTTCAATTGACTGAAACAGGGAAATCACTGTACTCAGTGGTGTAGCGGTACTCGAAGAAGTGGGTCTACTCCAAATTTATGAACCCAGTTTTTTTTCAAGTGACCTATCCAGCAAATGATAAATACCCCACTCTTGCATATTCAGTTTTATGATGGGTTAGTAGTATTTGCACTTTGTTACTTAACTTCTGCTGCTTGACTTCAGGGAGTAAGGATCATTATAAAATTAATATTAGCTACAGAAGAGGTGCAGATTTTGCAACAATACTGGCACACAGATTATAGGATGAGACAACTACATAATTATGCATTTTGAGTGAAGTATTCCTTATTTCTTACTCCATCCACTCATGACAACTATGTCATAAAAAAATCAACAGTGAACACTGCTGAATAATGAGCATGGGAGGGGGGTTTATATACCCAATGCCGACTGAAAAATGATTGGGTATACTGCACTACAGCACTGTATGTATATACATGCAAAGCTCACTATGTATACATATGTGGACACATATGCACATATCATGCACCAACATACAATTTTAAAACAATTCTGAATGGATTAATAAAACTGCATGTACAAACTTAATAAACATGTGATATATCATAACATTATGAAGCTCCTTGTTCACACATGCAGCAGATGCAGCGCAACAGTAGCTTTAGTTGTGCTTCAGGCCACAAAATCCTGTCAACCTGAACAATTCAAACATTCAGTCCTTTTCACTTTTAGCAACAGGCTTTTTTCTGAGCTTTCCCACTGCAGTAAGCTGCCTGATGAGAGCAGAGCTGCAGAATAGAAAACAAAACTCAAGTTGAATGACACTAAAATTCTCCATAGAGCTGCAGAGTTAATGAGTTGGTGTGTTTACAGGAAGAAGGAAAAGAAGACATTACCAAAATACCATACCATAATTACTTTTTAAATTCATCAACTTATTAATGTATTAGAATTAAACACTGATTACTTATAATGTTGGCACACTCCAGACTTTATTACACCTGTGTAACAACGTATTTTCTTTTCAACTAAACCACTTCTTAGTTTTTCTTCTTTCCTGCTCTGAATTGCATTATGTTACATTATTCCTCAATGAATTATGACTTCCTCCACTGAGCAACACTGTAAACATTGTCCATAAAGAGAGACCACTGTAAGCAGGTAACTGTTGAGTTCAAGGACAGAGGTCAGACAGCTTAGCAAAGGTAAGAATGTGACCAGTGGTCATACCACTTTCTGACCACTGGGGAGTCTGTAGTGTTGAATTATGTTGTGTTAAACCAAAAGAAGTTTAATATTTTGTCTATGCCATTCATATCAATGATGGTAGTTTATGTTTTCTGGGTCTACAAGGTTAATTTAAAAACTCCTATTTCAAATGAAACATTCATGACTAAATAGGCAATTATAAAAGTTAACATCTGGGGAAAATAAACATCCTTGGTTAGTGATTAGGAGTTAGAACACTTAAAAACCTGATCTGCTTTATAAGGACTGTCTGTACTTAATAAGAGTAACACAATAGACTTTTTCCAGTCGAACCCTGCCCTTTTTCAAACTTTGAACAACAACTTTGAAAGAGGGCAGGGCACGCTTATTGTTTTTAGGACCTGTAAGACTAGATCAAATGTCGGGAAGAGACAGTGGTTAAGGTTAAGTGCAGGTGTGCATGACATTACAGTAAATGATCCTTCCGGATGAGGCCCATTACCACCATCTACTGGAGAAGCAGACCTATGTCATGTGATTTGTACTCTAACTGGTTAAACTGGTTTGTAGATCTGGACCTGCAGCTTGGAGAACAGAAACAGATCAGTAACACACAGAAACCCTCAGATGGAGAATGAGGAGTGTTTTCTACAGTGTTTTTTAGTCTGATCTGGATGTGAGTTTCTGGCAGGTAAGAATCCTTAGCTATAAGTTAATTTTATGTTGAACTGTTTGACTGTATGTGACTTACTGCTGATAGTGGAGATCATATCCTCTTACTGTGACCAATCAGTCCAGCTTGTTTGTGTAAAGGTGTTCACTCCACCATGAATGTGTTTGAGGAGAGTGAGGAGGGAGTCGGTACCTCTGAAGTGTCTAACAAACACTACAGCCAGACTGGAGCTGAGAGGTAAGATAAACATCTCTCTGACTGTTAATGACGGTTCACTATCTCAGAACTCAGCTCCACAATCAGCTTCTACTGTTTATGTTGAAGCCTAGTGAAGCAGGAGAGACCAGACTCACCTGTACCCAGCCATGTATCCATGAAGAGCAACCAATCTATGTTTGAGCCTGAGGTTTTCAAGGATGGAGACCACTCGGACAAGTCAATGTAAGAATTTAATGATCTTGGATGAAGTGAGACCTTTCAAAAAGCATTTACATTTAAAGGGGGGAAATGTGTTCCTGATTTGTTGCAGTCTAAGCAGTATCTGAATGTTTACAAGATATAGCTAAGATAACTGTTTATACTGTTGGGTAGTTTCATCTGTAAGATTTATAAAATGGTCATATGTTTGATATAAATTGTTATCTGAAAAGTAAGTGGTTGTTCTCTGCTTTCACAAATTGTGGTGTACATATAGTACAAATATATATATATATATATGTCTTAAAACATCTTTGAGTTGAATGTTGAATGTTTATGTTGTGTTAAGTCAGGTGAACCAGGAGAGACCAGACCCACCTGTACCCCACTTAATGTCCATGAGCAGTGACCAATCTAGGGAGGAGCCCATTGAGTTCAAGGGGAAAGGGCCGATTGTTGAGCCAGTAAGGTAAGAACTTAAAGCACGAGTATGTTGTTGTACGAATCCACAGACCTCCAGGTGATCTATATGTACGCTGGGTTTTTCAAGTTTCTTCATCATACTTGTGTAAGAGCTTTGGCTTTAAGAGTAAATATGATGTCAAAAAATCATGTTCATTCACCAAATGAACCAATTCAGCAAATGTAAAACAGCCTGCTTTTGTCAAATAGAGCACATAGATTATTCTGCACAGTGAAGCTCAAATATCTAAGTCAAGTAAAAGCAGTGGTGGAAGGAGTACTCCGATATTTTACTAAAAAGTAAAGTAAAGTAGCAATACCAATAATTATAACATATATTTAATATATATGTATATTTTTGAATTGTATTCCTCCTTATACTGTAGTTTCAGTCATTCATAAAAATTGTTATCTGAAATGTAACTAGTAACAACAGTTTTCAGATTAATGTACTGGAGTAGAAAGTACAATATTTCATTTTGAAATGTAGTGAAGTACAAGTAGCATCAAATGTACATACTGAAGTAAAGATAGTTAATGTAGAAGGTTACCCCAGTTTTGTTATACTAAACTTACTTCCACATACAGCTCCCCATTCTATCTGTTTTATGTTGAAGCCCAGTGAAGCAGGAGAGACCAGACTCACCTGTACCCAGCTGTGTGTCCATGAAGAGTGAAACGTCTATGTTTGAGCCTGAGGTTTTCAAGGATGAAGGCAGTTCGGACAAGCCAATGTAAGTATTTAATAATCATCATTACATTTAAAGGTGAAAAAGGTCTTCCTGATTTGTTGCAGTCTAAGCAGTATCTGAATGTTGTCAAGATAGAGCTAAGATAACTGTTTATACTGTTGGGTAGTTTCATCTGTAAGATTGCATATTTTATAAAATGGACATATGTTTGAGGTATAAATTGTTATCTGAAAAGTAAGTGGAAACTATTAGCTGAAGAAAGTACGATATGTTCCTCTAAAATGTAGCGAAGTAGAAGTGTAACATAGTAAAGTACCTCAGTTTTGAACTTAAGCACAACACTTAAGCAAATAGCTAAAAGAGCTAAAAAAAGTAAATATAATAATTTAATGGATTAGGATGAAACATGATGCAATAAAAAAAGTACAATATTTTACTTTAAAATGTAGTGAAGTACAAGTAGCATAAAATGTACATACTGAAGTAAAGTGAATGTACAAGTTCCCCAGTTTTGTACTTAAGTACATCACTACATATACTTAGTTACATCCCACCACTGAGCAAAAACACATTATTGATAGGAGGGGAGAGTTTATTACCTGGAATCTGAATGAATATTTGTTGTTTTATTTGAAAACAAATTGACAACCAGGAAGTCAGTCACGGAAAAAGCTGTATTGTGTTTGATGTTGGTTACTGGCACCTACCTGAAGGTCAGCATTCTTTTCCAAGCATGCATTTCCTCTAACAATACAAAGACGTGCCAATAAAGTAAAAGAGAAGTAGTAGGGAATAAACACAGGCTGTTAACCCAAAAAATACAAATGAAAGGTTCGTGTTTCATTTAGTAATAGCCAGAGGCCTTTCAGTGATCGGCAAAACAATAGCCAGCAACCAATGAGTGTTTTCTCTTTTTCTTGTTTGACTTGAATGGGGAACGAGCAACAGATACGAGAATGTTACCTGTTGATCAACCTACGCTATGTGTTAAGTGTCCAAAAATGGTTTGCCCTGTGAAAGAGGTCTGAATTGGCGCTCTCCTACCAGCACTGTATGGC